CGATCCCCAGTACCTAATTAAAAAAAAAAAAGAATAAATATGGGAGATTCATAGGAGTCTTTTTTTAAAAGCCCTGTAATAGTAGAGAAGACAATATAGTAGAAATATTTTATCCTTACCGTTATTCTAAGGACTAGATTTTTAGATGAAATTATGTGAACTGAGAATAATATTTTCAGAGGTTTTAAATTGACAATGATCTAAATAAGGTTTGAAAAACCTAAATTTCTGGGCATGGTGGCACATGGTTGTAATCCCATTACTTGGGAGGCTGAGGCAGGAGGATGGATCACTGAGTCCGAGGCCAGCCTGGGGCACATAGTAAGTTGAAGGCCAGCCTGAACTGCATAGCAAAACTCTGTCTCCTTAAAAAAAGAAAAGAAAAACCTAAATTGATTTATCCACTGTGGTGAATATTCCCTGCCAAAACAATTGCTAAGGGCTTATGGGGTAAGAGTTACTCTCAGGGCATTCATTGTGATAGGTATGAAACTATAGGTCTAATAAGATTCAGAAAAATGTTCAACTGGACCCATGGAATAACCTAGTTTTGGGGGTAGAGGTTGGGAGGTGGGTTGGGAATTCTTTTATATAATTGCAATTTCTAGGGCTGAGGATTTAGCTCAGTGTTGCCACCACCTGCCTCACAAATGCAAGGTCCCGAGTTCCATCCCTGATACCAAACAAAAAACAGACAAACAAAAAAAACCCCATATAATTGCAATTTCTGATCATAGAGTTTTACCTTTTAAAATATAGGAGATTTTGTTTTATTTTGTTTTTCTTAGGTGCTGGGGTTTGAACCCAGGGACTCTCCTCCCTGCTAGGCATGTGCTGTACCACTGAGCCTATACCCCAGCTATAAGATCTAGTTTTGAGTAATTTTTTATATGAAGAGCTTTTGTGAAAGTAAAAAAGTAATTTATAATTGCTGAGAGTTTAAAACTTTGTTATAAACCCATGTATATGCATATTATATTAAAAAAATAATTTTCATCCAAAGATGATATTGAGTACAAATTTGGAATAAGCTTCTTTTTCAGTGCTGGCTTCAGTGAGGATGTTCAAATTATAGATGAGACGTTTAAACAAACATCTCCTTGCTTTTTGTTTTCTAGAAGTAGTGATATTTTAATAGTCTTAGTTGTTACTGTACAAATGGTTAAAATACTACAAAGTTTGTGGATTTAATGAGTACTTAAAAAATATATGTACTACTTCCTGAGTATTTACCTGTTTTGGAGGATGGGAAAGGAATCTTGTTTCTCAGTTTTTGAAAGTTTTGCCCTTAGTAAGACCTGTTGACATATTCCTTCTTTCCTGGATCTTACTTTTTCTGCTTTAGATGTATATTTTAATATGTTTTTTGCAATGTGTATCTTTTCCAAAATGAACACATCAGTTTTTTGTTTTTTAAACTTGGGAATATACAAGAAAGACTTTTAACAGTGAATTGTAAAGATCGATTAAGTGACAGAATAACTAAAATTGAATTTAATGAGTTATCTTTTAAATACTAGTTTAATTTGGTTTACTGAATAGGTTGAAAGGAGTAACACTGTTATGATAAACATTGTTATGAAAGTTGTTAAAGTGTACATTTCCTTAAGCTAAATCTCTTAAAATTTTGTAAGATTTGCTTTAAAAAGAATGGACAATTAAGTTGAAGCTTATTTTATGTAAGCAAGATAGAGGCAAAAAAAGTGGTTTTGAAACTTCAGAATTTGAAAGATCAAAAATGTTTAGGAATTTTAAAATTAATGTTTTTCATGTAAGGATGCCAGTATTATGTTTTCTGAAGAACGCTTATAAAACAGATTGCCATATATTGTCACTATCATTATATAAAATGAAGGAAATTCTAACATTGAAAATGTAGGGGGACATAAATTCAGAATTAAATATAGGCCTTTCTTAGAAAAGAAAATTGTCGACCTTTGGCAATATTAATTGCTAAATATTACATTGTTTTCTGGACCAGTGTTCTAGATAGTCCATTGTTCCGGACCAGTGTTCTAGATGATTGAGTTTTTAACTTTGCTATAGCCAGTGGATGTGTAATATTTCAAGATTCAAGTATAAATACTCATATGTTACTAAAAAATGAGAAATTTTCCCTGGGAAAAAGGTGGAAGTATTTTAAAATATAAAGATAGAAGCAGAATACTTTTACCTTTCAGTTAAAATAGTTGTGATTTGACTCTGATTAGTTAGAAAATGACTCCTTTTTTTTTCTGTTGATTTTTTTAAATGTTAGTACATGTTTCTAGTACATACTATTTACATGCCTTGTGAGGAGTTGGTGCATGTGCATATTACATCTTAATTCTTTTTTTCATATCCTGACCCTTCCCTCCCTCCACTCATCTCTTGATCTCCTTCCTTTTTATTTTGGTAAATGTTTGCAGTACATAATGTTTATATTCCTTGTGTGGAGTTGGTACATGTACATATCATACCTTAATTCCTTTTTTCATCTGTTACTTTTCTCTCGTTGCTGAGAAAAACACCCAACAACCAAAGTTAAAGGGGAAGGGGTTTATTTAGCTCACAATTTGTAGAGGTTTCAGTCCATAATCGGCTGTTTCCAAGGCAGAGTTGGACATGGCAGAGAGGCACCACAGGAGAAACAGTTCATGGTTCCCACAGGGTAGCAAAAGCAATAGGGAACCTTAACACTGTCTTTCTGCCCCTTTTATCATATCCAGACTACTGGGATTAGGGTGGTGCCAAACCAATCAATGTACTGGTTTAGTAATCACAGGCCCTTAATCCTAGCATCACACACTCTATATCCAGCTAACTCTGAAAAACCCACTTATTACCACATGAGGCTTTGGGGTGACATCTAGACCCAAACCATAACATTCCCTAGTTCTTCCCTTCCTCACCCCTCCTTCCATCTCTCTCACTTTTTAATTCATTAATTTTATTGGTACATTTTAGGTATACAGGGATGCTGACATTCATTATTGGGAATTTGTACCTTTACCTAATATATCTTGGTTCTTACCCCTCCCTATTTACAAACTTTTTAATTCATTAATTTTATTGGTACATTTTAGGTATACAGGGATGCTGACCTTCATCATTGGGAATTTGTACCTTTACCTAATATATCTTGGTTCTTATTTTTCCCCATTCCCCCTCCCTTCAACCCCTCCATCCCTCACTATTTACAAAGACTTTGTTTCCATTTTTTCATTTTCTCATATTAATTCCATTCCCTTCTTTCCTTTCCCCTACCCCTCCCACTTCCCCTTCCTCTTTGGACCTTTTCTTCCTATTTCACATTATCTGTTATACATTTTAGACCCCATTCACACTTTGTTTCTCGCACCAGAGAAACTATTGAGTATTTACACAAGGCTGTCCTATTTATTTCACTTTTAAGAGTATTGCCTCAATGTTCATCCATTTAGCTATAAATGTCTCTAGTTTCTCATTCTTTATGGCTGAGTAGTACTCCATTTTATAAAAAACATCACATTTTCTTTATCCAGTCTCCAGTTGATGGGCAATTGGGCTGTTTCCAAGTTTTGGCTATTACAAACTGTGCCGCTATGAACATGGGTACACCTATATTGCTGTGATGTGAATTCTTTTAATTCTTTTGGGATAATAACCAGCAGGGGAATAGCTGTGTCAAATGGGACTTCCAGTCTTAGTTCTTTGAGGAATCTCCATACTGATTTCCACAGTGGTTGCACCAGTCTACACTCCCACCAACAATGGAGAAGGGTTCCTTTTTCCCCACAGCCCCACCAGCATTTGTTATTGGTTGATTTCTTGATAACAGCCATTCTTTCTGGGGTGAGGTGGAATCTCGGTGTTGTTTTCATTTGCATCTCTCAAATGAGCAAGATGTTGATCACCATTCCCTTTGAGAAAGATCTATTTACCTTCAGAAGTAGTCTCATCCCATGACTGACTAGTTTTTTCTACTCTTGTTTTCCTTGTATTTTTGTAGACCTAGATCATATTTCAAAACAGGGATGGTGAGGTTCATAATTTGGAATAATCAGTCCCAGAGATAAAATCTGCAGTCCCAAACTCAAAAGAGAAGTCTAGTTTCTTTTATAGCAAAAGAATCTTCTACTGACAGTTTTGACACTCATTTCTCAACTCTCAGTAGTTGTGAGGATTTATCCATTTAAAACCTGTAATGTACTTAGTGTTTGACACATAGTTAAACCCTCTTACTGTTAGATACTATTAATATTATTATTATTGTGCTTGTTTTATGAAATGAGTGATTGGTAAAACAGTGAAATAGGATGAAGACAAGATGGAATAACTAATACTAAGACTCTTAC